CTGGGCACAATGGAGATTTTCAGCACTCTCAGGTGTGTGACTCTCAGAGTGATATGGATGTCTCTGAGTCATTTGTCTATGTAAATCTGAGGAAAACAAACAAGCAGAAAAGAGATAACGTAGCCTTACTCTTCCCTGATGTGGTATTTCAGACTTAGAAATGCTTTACTTCCTAGATAAGAGAGAGAGAGAGAAGAGAATAATTTAAATTCTTTCATTCCCTTGGGAATAATGCAATGCAATAATGTTAAAACTGTATGTAATTGCTTTCTATTTTTGTAAAGCCTGTGGCTGCTATGAAACTTTAAAGTGAACACTGGAAACTCTGGTTTGTACAAAGTTCTGCAGTTGCATCAATGGTGCAGTGGGGGTAAAAAGCAGTGGGAAAGTGTAGGCTTTATTCTACAAACCACAACAGTGGGTTTCCCTGGGATGTGTGGAAGTATCTTCAAAAGCAGCAAAACCTCTCAGAAAGTGACAGGTTTGGGGTCTGTCCTGGGTTGCTGTTTGCATTGTCTGCTGCTGCAAGAAACCCAAGTGAGCTCTGTCATTGCTTGGGGCACTATGCTCATTTTGGAATATATATAGTGTGCATATATGTATATACATGTCAAATGGCATAATGAGACAAAAGATACCTTTTTTTCCTGTGTCATTTTGAAGGATGGTTTTTATCCTTTTATCCATCCCAATAGATACAAGGCACTGGCTAAGCACAACAAATGTGTGTTGAAACCTTTTCCAAATTCCTGTTCATGGCTGGAAAAGAAATAATTGATGCAGATTGCTGTGAGTTTCTCATGAAAAACTCTTGAAGATACAGAGATTAATTTTACATAACTCTTCACTTTATTGTTGTGTAAGCAGGTATTTTGCTGCTGTTATTCCAGATTTGTTCTAGGTGTTATACTAGATTTTCCCAGGAGATATCCTGGAGCAGATTGCATTGTAGAAGTACTGAACATGTACAAGAAAGAGACTTTTTTTTCCCTTCTTTTTCTGTACAACTGTTCTCCTACAATCTGGAGTAATTCTGTTTTGCCATTTGACTTAATTAATTTTGCTTCAAGTTGCTGTGTTTTGGATTATTCAGTCACCTCCTTCTACAGTAGCTGATAATTCTGACTCTCATGCACTGAACAATGCCTATAACAGTGCTAAGCAACAATTTTTACCCATATGCATAAAGCCTCTGACAAAAGTGACTCAGTTTCATAGCTGCCATCTTTCTTGATGAAAAACACAAAAAATGTAAGGAGCTCTTATCTGACAGCAAATTAACTACACACAGAGATGATCTGTGACTTTGCCAAAATGCCTTTGAGTTTCTTTGTTTTTCTGCCAGCAGTTTGTGCTCATCTCAGTTATTCAGTGACACGCAGAAACTGTGGTTTGCTTTTTCATCCTGGGGCAGGAGATGAAATCCCACCTGGGGATGATGACTTCTGGTTAAATATGAGTGCTTGTCCCATGTGTCCTGTGAGGAACCACATCAACCACAGATGCCATGAGATGCTATTCACTCCTAGAGGCTGAAGCAATATTCTGCAGAAGTTTCCTTCTTGCAAGGATTTTTACATGCTGATTTTATTCTGATCAGAGCCAGAAACTAACACTGACCTCAAAGTAATATTACTGCTATAGTTTTCTATACACTTTCCTCTGTGAATTTGGCCAGTGTAAATTTCTACCATCCACAAAATATCTGGAGGCAAAAAAATCTGTGGTTTGATTACATGCATGTAAAGAAATACCAACTTCTGTTTTGATGTGTTGCATTCCTTTAATTCCCTTCAGCACTCTCCTATCTACCTATCTACACTGGTCTACTTGCCAGTGCATTAAATATATTATTTTAAGGGCTCAGATTAATTCAAGGTACAAAAATCAGTGGTTGTTACAGAAAATTTGGTTTTTTGCTTATGCAGGTGTTTAGCACTGTTTCATTCTTGGAGCCAAATTTGGACTGAGATGAATGTTTTCCACTGGAAATGCAATTACTACATCTTAGAGTTGCTGGGGCCCAAGAATTCATTTCACTCAGTCATCTGCTCTTCTAAATATAGGGTAATTGCTATTCTTTGTAAATGAAATAAGAGAAAAAAGAACAAATTAGAGAAATGTTACCCTCTGTAATTAGAGTGTTTCTGAGGATAAAATTGTTTTAAAGGTATAACATCGTTAACAGATTTTTTTTTTAATCCTTGTTTGCATCTTGGCACAGTCACAGGGCACATTTCCTATGTTTTGTACATTTATTCAAAACAGAATTAGAATAAAGCTGTTTTTCCTTTTTTACAAATTACTGGCTTTGTAGGCTGTGTAGGTGTTTTTCAAAGGCACGCACCATGCTTACTTAAAAATAATTACATTTTGAGCTAGAATATATATTATGCCCTTCCTATCGAGCTACAGTGATGTGTTACAAGCTGCCATTCTACACATTTCCAGAGTGACATTTTGTTATTGCAGATCATTTTAGGAAACTTCCTGAGAAAGTAAAATGTCTACTCGTGGCTGTTCAGCTGGAAATGTAATGGAGCGCCCTGGGACAGGAAGGACTAACAGGATTTGGAATTTATCTTCAAAAGCATCCAGCCAGTTTGCCTGGGCAGTGGTTGTGGGCAGCATGGCTTGGGTGTGTTGGTGTCTGTGGCTCCTGCAGTGCCAGGGCTGGCAGCAGGTGCTGGCTCCTCTCCTCACAGCCTTTGCTGCTGGGAGCTCTTGGGTTGGGAGGTGTGCTGGCTCACTTCACTAGCAGAAGTTGTTCCAGGGGGAATCAGCCACTGGAAGTGTTTGGATAGCTTGAAGGAAGAAGTAAGAGAGGATGTTCATCATTCAATAATGCTGAAAAGGTGGTTGCTGTAGAAACCTCTTCCAGGTCTAGCAAATGTCAGGCATCAGACTGTGCGCGCCGCAGCACCACGGCTCAGCCTGGAGAGGCTCCCACGCACAGGAAGCCTGGAGGCTGGCTGTCTTTTTCTGGAGCCACTGGGGGTTTCCTGGCCATCTGCCTGATGTGGGGAGTAGCCATCAATGTCACTGCTCCCCTCTGCAGAGGCTGCTGCACAGTCATGGTCACGCTGCACAAGATGCCAGGGTTGCTCCCTCCATCAGGGCACACTCGGGGCTTTGTGCTCGTGGCTCATATCAGCACAAAGCTGGCTCTGGCAGCTCAGAGAAGTAGTGAGGGGTAAAGTGTGCTGAATGTGCTGTAGTGTGGGTTGGCAGAGACACCCTGGGGCTGTGCAGGGAGCACAGATACCACTTGTAGGATCTCTGACTTGTTCTTCCCCAGAGCATTCCCTGAGGAATCGCCCAGCAAATCCAAGGTGTGTTAGCTGCAGCTCTGAGCTCAATTGCAGGCTGATGGCAACGATGTCCTCAGCTATAACAAAGTGTGAAGTGAGCAAGAGGCAGAGAATTTGATCCTAGTGTTATAAAGGGGCTGAGTCATATTTAATCAAGCTCTATTCATTTGTACAGCAGAGGTGCCTTTTAAAGTAAAGATGCACCAGCCACAAAGTGCTTTACTTAGCTCCCTTTGAAGGGACCTCTCAAATGCTCGCTGCTGTGGATTTCAGTCCACTCACAGTCCATTTAATAGACACGGTGCAAACTCCCTGAAATGAGTGGCTTATCTCCCCAGAGCTGAGGCCTGGCTGTGTGGGTTTGGTGAATACTTAGCACTTCATCTGCTTGTTTCCCACTGGTAAAATGAACTAATGTGTCCATCTCCTTCTGCTGTGCTCTTTGTGAAAGGTTCCTCGGCTTCTCTGGGACATCTCATAATAATTCACTCTGGTTCAGTTAATCTCAGGTTTCTGCATGAAGGTATCCTGGGTCTCTCTTGGCTGGGTAATTTGTTTCAAACTGATTTCTGAGACTAATGTTTCATCCTTTCCATTTGAAATCAGTAGGATGGAGCTGCACCATTCTTAATATAACATTGATTCTGCAGAATGATGATTCTGATCCTTGGGGTAAACTTCAAGATTGCTTTAGACATTCATGTTCTGAATGAGGACACAAGAATTCATTATTCAACTATTATGAAGTCTCTCATGTTTTCAGCTGCTATAGATACTCTTGATTTGTTTTGATAAGAAGCCCAGAGCTTGGCAGGACATGTTATTGATCTCACAGAATCCATTCTCAACACTGATGTGGGGGTATCATTCACAAATCAATTTTCTCTGAGCTTTGATTTAAGTATCAGTGGCCTTTGAGGATCTTTCTGGGTCACTTTTATTCTCAAGCTGTACTTCAGCACTGAGTAAACTGTTTAACAAGTGAAGGCACCCAAATGAGCTGTGTGCCAGCTGCTGTCAGATGTGGCTATTGAGTCTGGTCTGTTTGCTAACATAGTTTCTGTAAAGAATAACACCCCACTCTATCTTCAAAACAGTTTTTGAACTTCAGCCACTCAGTCCCAGCAGCTCTGTAAGGAGGCAAGTATTCCTTTGATATCAAGACACTGCCTGGGGAGAGAAGGTGAAGTAGTGTCATTTAGCTATGTGTTAGACTGCACAAAAACTGTCTGCTACCTTTCTCCTCAGCAGACAGAAGCTGAGACAGATATGTCAAGGGAGTTTTAGAAAGGATCTGACTCAAGTTAATGCCACAAAGTTCTTTGCAATCCATGAAAACAATGTGATGAACGAGTTATAAAGGAATGTAACATTTGATTTTGTAAAGATATGGAAGAAAGGTTAAGAGTGGGGAAGAGTGCTAAAGGTCGCTTGCAGGCACTGCCCTTTAGTTACTGGTCACAGAAACCAGATGTGTGGGAACTGGCTGTGTGGGTTTATGGAGTGTCCAGAGCCAGGAACTTCTAGAGAAGTCCCACGAGAAGTTTCCTGACCACCCCTCATGCACGTGCCCCTTACTGGTGTCACAGACCTAAAATATCCCAACGGTTTCTCAGAAATGATGGCCTAGCTTCCCGAATTATTTCCTTTCCTTTTTTTCCTTTCATTTCTTTTCTCTCTATGTTTCAGATTATGCTTGGCCTTTGCCTAAACAGTTGTGCCCTATATGGATTTCCCTAGATGTGCTCTTTTCAACTGCATCTATTATGCATCTCTGTGCCATCTCTCTTGATCGGTACGTAGCAATTCGCAATCCCATTGAGCACAGCCGCTTCAATTCCCGCACCAAGGCCATTATGAAAATTGCTGCAGTTTGGACCATATCCATAGGTAAGCAACGTGGCTCTTGACTGTGTCTGAATGAATAATAGTGTTACTCCAATTTTCATTTAGGATTTTTTTTTTTAAGAGGATACTCAAATTAATTTCCCTGGCCTGCATGCCTGAGCAGAATAACTGGAAATGGAAGCCTTTCCTTGCAGCTGGTGGGAGCAGTCATTTTTCAGAGCACCACCCCTCTCCACTGCTGCTGTGTCCCTGTCAATGTGCAGATAACAGCAATAACACGGACAAGTGGTGCTGTAAAACTGCTGTGTAAACAGAGCAGAAAACAGCATTAGCACAGCCCGGCACGGAGAGCCCGGCCAGCTCAGAGTGCGCGGCTGCGCTGCGGTCGCTGCGGTGAAACTCTCTCAAGGCTTGGTAATGGTTTAAGTGGAGATGCCCAGGGTTGGAGGCAGGCTGTCAGCGAGGTGTTTACTGCTCCTGCTCAGCCTTCATAGCCCGGGCTGCTCTCTGCCACAGCTGGATTGCTGCTGGTACTGAGCTAGCAAGTTTGATGTCTTAGTAAATGAGGAGTAGGCATAACAGAAGACATGTTTGTATTACTTTGATAAAGCACAATAAATAAAACAGCAGTAAAATAGGGAACAAAACACAAAATGATGGCAAGATGACTCTGTGATACTGAGAATTATGTGGAGAAAAAAATTTTTGTAGAACTCTTTAAATGTGTTTAAAAAAAGAGACATTTGAGGCAGGGGCAGAATTGTATGACCACTTCCATCTGCTGTATTGCCTTTTGTGCTTGTTTAAAATGCAGTCCTACAGAGATTTAACATTTAATTTCTATTTTATGAAGTGGTTTTTGCTTTCAGTGCTGTACTGCAAGGAAAAGCATGTTCCAGGTATTTGAATTTCTCTTGGGTTTTTGCCTGCTTTAGAAGTGGAATATGATTCTGGATGTCTGGGTGCTACAGGGACTGATTTTGAAGAATCTTGCCTTGGGAAAAGGCTATGGGGAAAACCAAAAAATGATAAATTAGGGAAAATATATTTTTTCTCCTCATGAATATAACAAGAATATCTATTAGAAACAAATTTTCATGTGTCACAGGCCTGCTACATTTCCCCTAGGTAATATAATCCACATTGAAATTGTATTTGGTTTAATCAATTAATTTCAGATTTTTTTGAAATTATTATTACTATTATTTTAAACTCTCTGTGCTCTCTATTTGACATGGGGAAGAAAGCTGATGAATTCAGTACATAAGAGCAGTCACATGAGGACAAGTTTACGTGGGCTTGATTTTCACAGGCAGTTCAGAATCAGCAGAGAATTTGAGATCCATGTCGCACTGGAACACAGAGGGAGAGCTGATAGACAACCCCCCAGCTAAGATGTATAAATCACATTGCAAAACCAATATAAAACTGGGCAATAAAACTGTTCTGCTTCCATTTTTGGAGCTAACTTGAAGATTTCTGCCTGCGCTGCCTTAGATGTTGCTGACGTATCCTTAGAAATGTTGCCAGTGCTGAAGGTGGCTGCCTGCACTGACGCCTTGAGGAACAAGTTGTGGTTTGGACTCTGAGTCCAAGGGAAAAAGTAAGTACTTCATGCAGGGCTCACTGAGTCAGCAGACTGGTAAGGAAAGCTGGTGCCTGACCAAGCAGTAAAGACACATGCCAGTCTCTTCATGGAGCTGTTTGGAGAGGATTGGGCTCATGACGATGGAAGATAGGCACACTGTGACCTCTGCTGCACCCAAGGAAAAAGGTACCTGAGCCAGGACAGGTGAGGTGACTGTGCTGCTGGACAGTGCAAACACCTCCCCCCTACCCAGCTCCCCCAGGAGGTGTTTAACCACTCTGCACTGGATAGGATGTCAAAGAGGTGAAAGAATGAAGCTTACAAGACACAGCTTGGAAAGGAGATGGAATGGCACTTTTCCACAAGGCACATGCTTTGTCAGCCCTCCATAAGGCAAGGGGTGCTGCAGCTGTTCCCCAGCACCCCAAATTCTTTAGGAGGAAGCTGTGAGCAGCTGCTCTGTGGGATGTCTGTGGTGCACAGAGCTCTGGGGGGCTGTCCTGGGCAGGCTGGAAAGGACACGGGGTGCAGCTGTGCCTGTGTGCCTCCTGTGGTAGGATCACAGCTGGGAGCGTGTGCGGCACATCTGGGCTTTATGTTCAGTTTGTTCTCTTTGATGCAGTTACTGCTGACCTAGGAGAGCCTTTGCTTGCATCCATTTTTTTGAAGATACAGGCAGAATTCACACTCCTCAGACAGTCTGTTCAGGCACTGAAATGCTTTTAGACTTTCTCCACAGTGCATATGATAGGGCTTACCCTTTTACTTTTACAACCTAATGCAGTAGGTTGCATTAAATGGAGAAAGAAAAGTACTCTTGGTATGTATCTAGCTCATTTTAGCATAACTATTTGTACTTCATAAATTAATTTAGAGATGTGGCAGACACGGGAATAAACCAAGCATGGAATGAAAGAACTCCCTCAAAGTGTATTGTTGCTGTTTTCTGGTGCTTAACTACCTGAATTTAGAGATGTGGCAGACATGGGAATAAACCAAGCATGGAATGAAAGAGAACTCCCTCAAAGTGTATTGTTGCTGTTTTCTGGTGCTTAACTACCTTCCCTGTCACTTGGAAAGGCTTGGTGAAATCCTGTGTTAATTTCAGGAGGATGAAATAGGTTAAATGAATTCATCCACACTTTGGTGTTAAGTGTCACAAAAGAATTTGTGCATTTCTGTTTGTGATTAAGCATCAAATTCAAAGCAGCACTTAAGTGCAGGCTGGTCAGTTTGCAATTCCTAAATCCTGCTTCAGATGAAGAAACTTTTAAAAGCATTCCATGCAAAGAATCTTGAATTCAGTTTCTGAATCTGAATTCAAAATAAAAAGTAAAAAGCATGTACTTTATCTTAATTTGGTAGCTTTTGCATTCCATTTTTCTGAAATGTTAATGCTGGCAGCAAAATATAAAAGAGATTCTTTGCTCACTAAGCTACAAATTTGTCAAGGTGCACAAGCCTAAACTTCTGATTAGCTTTTGAAGTAGGGGAACATAACAGAGTCCTCCTGTCTCTTGACAATTTCTTTGTGAATAGGTCTTTTCCAAAGTTCTCTTTGTTCCAGATTAAAGTATATCACAGACAATTGTTCTGTGCTTTAGCAAACATAACTTGAGCAAGATTTTTGTCTTCACTTAGAGAAAAAGTGACTGCTGTAAAGGACTGGGCTTGTAAAAATTAGTTTTGTGGTAGATAGCACTGTGCTGAGGCTGGAAATCAAAACACAGGCAACAGGAATATCCTCACAATTGAAAATAAAAATCAATTTTAGGTGTGAGCCTGCTGGCAGAATCTTGGTATTGTTTCAAGATTTCAGGCTTTGTGTAGTTTCAAAGTTTTCAGCAGTAACTTGGGGACTTGACCATCTCACCAGCCCCTCTGCCCTGCTGTGGGGAAGGTGACTGGAGATCCCCTTGCAGGGCTCAGCAGGGGTAAGGAACCAGCCAAACCCTGGGAGCACACTGGCTCATACAGGAGAAAGTGTTAACTGGGTGACATTACAATAAACAAAATATCCCTTTGAAAATCTGAATGAAAGCACTTCATTGATGGGGAGGTACATACACATTGCTTCTGATATGAAAATAACTGACACATTTTAATTCTGCAGTTCCTTGTGACCCAAATATATGCTTGGAAGGGCTTTTCCTCTGCTTCCTGGTGTGTTCAAGGTTTGGTCATTTGCTATAGAGTGCTGAAATTACACATGCTACCAATTTTCCAGCTCACAGTTTCACATCCTCACAAGCAGTGTAAATTCAATTTAGTTCATAAGTGACCAAGATAGGGCAATTTTGCTCTGTGTGTCAGTGCCATAGGCAGATGCCACAAATTGTGTGCGTGTCTGTGTGTGTGTGATGTTTGAAAACATTTTCATTCTTTCTCTGACTCACTAATGAGATTATAATTTTGATTTCAGGGAGGAACCTGAGGTTTGTGTATACGATAAACCATTAAGGTTTAACAATGAAATTTAAATCCTCATTTAACTTTCATAGTGCTTCATTGTTTTATTGAGGAGATCTATTTATAGAAATATGGAAGAGTATGAAAAGTATGAATGTGTGCTGTGAGGATCAGTAAACACTCATCTCAGACTAAGTGAACTTACATCTCACAGCTTTTTGCTTCTGCCCTGAGTGTTTGTCTCTTTCAGGGGCTGAGCAGCCTGATGCTTGCAAGCTGCTCTAATGATGTCCTTCAAGAGCCCCCAGGTACCAGCTAAGCCTTCCCCTCTCTCACTGCAGACAATCCTCAGCCTGAGGAACATCCCTGGAGAGGCACTGTTGCTCCAAAAGGAACTGTGGTCTCATAGGGCAGGGGGATGTGCTGAGGGCAGGTTGTGCATGGAGAAAAAGGGGTCTGGAACAGCTCTCAGAGCCTCCCTGAGGTCACAGTTCCTGAGCACGTGTAGGGTTCTGTTTGCATTTCTGCCCACCAGTGTCTCTGGGGCCAGGGGCTTGCTCAGAGAGGCATTTCCATGGCTCCTGTGCTGGTGGGATGTGTTTGCTCCTGGAACCCTTTGCTCTGTGCTGGGCTGTAGCTGCTCCTGGGGGATCATGCTTCGGGATCAAACCACAACCCCAGGAATTTCTTTGCAGACTTCAAGTTATCACAAACCTCTGGACAGATTTCATGGAAAAAAGGGGCAAAACCACTGCTAGTGAAGAAGACAACACATGGAAGGTCAAAATGTGTTCATTTGGGATTTTGCTCAAACCTTTCCCACTAAGCAGACAGGCTCCGTGCTCATCACTTGGACACAAGGAAGCAGTGCTGAAACCACTGTTACTGGCAAAGCAAAGGTTAGACAGGCACCCTCCAGTTCCTGGAAAAACATACACATTTCTGACTATGAGCACTGCCTTAACAGAAGGACAGCAACCACACATATTGTTGAGAAAAATGGTTGCATACTAGTAAAGCCTAAGGGAGGTTAATATCTCTCCAG